ATGGGCTTACAAGCTTTCTGTCATCATGTTTCCTGATACTCCTTTCTATCCCACTCAAGTGTCTAATTTACAATACTAGGCAAGGGAAACGAATATCCATAAGATAGTTAAGCATCTTAAAATTATTTTCCCTCTTTTACCGATTCAGACAAGGCCTTGATTCCTGTATCACAGAGCCCTGTTGTTCCAAGGCTGAGCATACATCACTATTTACCTCTGCCCCACTTAGCCCATGCAAACCTGCCTCAGTGTTCCCCTATCTACCTTGTTCTTCTACACCCTCCCCCTTCTTGTGTATTGCCTTCCCTTTCCTTGTATGTTGCCCTCCTCAACACCCAAGCTAGGATGTGTCTATCCCCTAACCTGTGCTTTATCGTCTCATCCCTCCCATCCCTGGTAATCATCAGAGAATTGTTTTTTTTTTCTTTTAATATGGCTATCATTTCTTAAGCTTTTATAATAATGGCTTTATGCAATATTTGTTTTTTTGTGACAGACTTATTTCACTCAGCATAATGTCCTCAAGGTTCATCCATGTTATGTGTGGTTTGCAGCATCACTGTAATTCTTCAAGCTAACATAATATTCCATTGTGTGTATGTACCAAAGTTTGTTTATCCATTCTTCCATTGGTGGACACTTAGGCTGTCCCCATCTTTTAAATATTGTGAATATTGTTGCTATGAACATTGGTGTACATAGTGTTCTTTTCCTATTCTTGTTATGGCTCATATTTCTTGTGGATATATACCAAGTAGAGGACTTGCTGGATCATAAGGTATTTCTATTTCCAACCTTTGAGGAAGCGCCATACTGTTTTCCAGAGTGGTTGAAACATTTTACATTCCCATCAGTAATGTAGGAGTGTCCCAGTCTCTCCACATTCTCACCAGTATTTATTGCCCTCTGCTTTTTTGACCTTCACTGTTATTGCTGGTATGAGATGATAACCATGTTGTTTTGATTTGCATCTCTCTGATGGCTAATGATCGTGAACATTTCTTCATGTTTCTTGGCTGCCTGAATGTCTTGCTTGGTGAAGTGTCTGTTCATGTCCTGTGCCCATTTTTTAATTGGATTATTTGTCTTTTTCTTCTAGAGGTGTTATAATTTCATATAGATTTTAGAGCTTCCTCCCTTGTTTGATATGTCATTACAAAAGATTTTTTTCCTGTTCTGTGGGCTCCCTTTATACTTTCTTGGTGAAATCCTTTGATGCGCATACATTCCTAATTTTTAGAATGTCCCAATCATCTATTTTGGCTTCTTTTGTTTGTGCAATTCTCAAAGTTTCATAGTGTATGTATGCCCTGTATTAGAGCCCTTAAATTTGTCCCTAGTTTTTCACTGATGACCTTTATAATTCTGGGATTTACATTTAGGTCTTTAAACCATGTTGAGTTGTTTTTTTGTATATGGTGTGAGATAAATGTCTTGTTTCATTCTTTTTCATATCAATTTCCGGTTCTGCCAGCACCATCTGTTGAAGAGACCATCTCCCCTTCATTTAATGTTATTTGGCCCTTTATCAAAGATCAGTTGGCTGTATGTAGATGGGTTAATTTCTGGATTCTTGATTCTGTTCCATTGATCTATATATCTTGCATTGTACCAGTACTAGGATGCTTTGACCACTGTAGCCATGTAGTAAATTTTGAAATCAGGGAGTGAGAGGCCTCTAATTTTGTTGTTGTTCTTAAGCAGTGCTTTGCTTATCCGGTTACTCTCTCCTTTCCATATTAAGTTTGTAATGTTTTTTTCCATGTCTTTAAAGAATGTCATTGGAATCTGGATCTGGGATTGCTTTGGGTAGTATTGACATTTTCACAATGTTATGTCTTCCTATTCAGGAACATGGTATATACTTCCATGTTTGTAGGTCTCTTTTAGTAGTGTTTTAGTTTTCTTTGTATAGGTGTTTTGCTTGTCTGGCTAGATTTATTCCTAAATATTTCATCCTTTGGGCAGCTATTGTAAATGGCATTGTTTTTCTAATTTCTTATTCAGCATTGTCGTTATTAGTATAGAGGAATCTGACTGATTCTTGTATGTTGATCTTGTACCCTGCCTCTGTGCTGAATCTTCCAATGAGTTCTAGTAGTTTTTTGCTGAGTCTTTGGGGTCTTTAAGTATAGCATCATGCCATCTGCAAATAGAGAAGAGTGAGTGTTACTTCTTTGCCCATTTGGATGCCTTTCATTTTCCTATCTTGCCTTATAGCTCTGGCTAAGACTCCCAACACAATAGTGAATAGGAGTAGCGATAAAGGGTATCCTTGTCTGGTTCCTGTTCGCAAAGGGAGAGCTTTCAGTTTCTCCCCATTGAGCATGATGTTGGCTGTTGGTTTTGTATATATGCTTTGAATTATGTTGAGGAATTTCCCTTCAGTTCCTTCTTTGTTTAGCATTTTTATCATGAATGCATGTTGGATTTTGTCAAATGCCTTTGTATGTCTGTCTCTCTGTGTGTGTGTATATATGTATATATATATATAGGATTATATTGTTTTTATAACATTGAACTATCCTTGCATCCCTGATATGAATCCCACTTGCTTGTGATGTATTATTTTTTTGATGTGTTGTTGACTTCTGTTGGCTAGGATTTTGTTGAGGTTTTTTGCATCTATGGACATGAGAGATATTGATCTGTAATGTTCTTTGTTAGTGATGTCCTTCCCTGGTTTTGGTATGCGGGTTATGGTTGCTTCATAAAATGTATTAGGACGTTTTCCATCCTTTTCTATATTATGGAATAATTTGAATAGAACTGGGGACAGCTCTTCCCTGAATGTTAGTGAAGCCATCTAGACCTGGCTTTTTTTTGGTTGGAAGTTCTGTAATGACTTGCTCAGTTTCTTTTGTTATAGGTCTGTTCAAGTTTTCCACTTCACTCTGTGTAAGTTTAGGTAGGTCGTGTTTTTCTAAAAAAAAGTCTCCATTTTCAATAATTGGATGAATGTATGTTGGTATATTATTAAGCTTTCTGATTGCCTCTTGGTAGATGTGACCAGGAGATGGGCTTCTCTTTTCACTTGTTTTATTACTCAACTGAGAGTAATTTTAGCTATCTCTTCTGCTCTGGTGTTAAGCAGCTGGTATTGACTTGCCTAGATGATGGGATTTTATAGGGTGTGATTGTAGCTTGACTATATGACTGCAGTTGCTGTCTATTCTTAGGTAATGTAGGGTGAGGAAGAGCCCCCTCCCCCAAGATAAAAGGGATACCTAAAAAAACAACAACATACAAAACCAACAGATTGGACAGACACTAAAGTCTATAGTTGCCACACACACACACACACACACACACACACACACACAACATAGCAAAATATGAATAAGACTTTAATGCCCATTTTTCAACTTCTTGCCTTCAAGACCACCTGAGAAGTTTCAAAATGTTCCTGTTGCTCCTTATGGCCCTCTTTACGTTTTTGCTTCTCTGACTTCTCCTCAATCCCTTTCAGGTGTTACTTCTAGCTGAGAAATAGCCCAGGGCTGGCCAGAGTCATTTTGGAAGACACTCCCATTTTAAGCTGTTCCTGTTGACTCATCCCCCTTCTTGGATTCTGGGTCCTGTGGTCTTTGCTGAGCAGAGTCATTTACCTGCATAGTAGAACCCTCTGGGGATTGGGAAGTATCTACTTGTTCATGGACCCCCCCTCTAGTCCCCAGAGTGAAGGTATGCAGACAGAGAAAGATTAGTGAATTGAAAAACATGTTCACACTTTTATCTCTGACAGTCTGTCAGACCTCTGTGATGGGAGTGCACTCTTGATCTTATGTCTGCTCAGTCCTGCTCAAGATGGTAGCCGCAAATCAGAAAGCACCACTTTTCTTGTTTCTGCTACAATTTTGAGACATTAGATTTTGTCAGAGTATCTACAAGGGGCTGATTACATTTCTTGTCATCCCAGATCTCCTGGAATGGAACCTTGATTTATTGAAATAAAGTCTGTCTTCCTGGAGCTAATCCCATTAATCCTAGTTCTTATGTTTGAGAACCTTGTAGAACATGTCTTTCAAAACATAGCCTTTCAAATAATAAAGAAATTATACAAGCTCAATTGCTATAATTCTTTAACGTATTTTTAAAAACTTCCCTCCACCATATTGCTTGCTAGTAGTTGTGGTTTTTAAACGTGTCTGCTCATCAGAATTATATGAGGAGCATTTACTCAATACACATAACTGTGTTTGTATGACTGAGATGGGGCCCAAACATCTACATTTTTCAAAAACAACCAGTTGATTCTGATGCCTAACCTGATTTGGAAACTGCAGTTCTAATCTATGGACAGATAAATGGGAGAAGAGACTGTAATTTGCCAAATTGATTCTGAAAAGCCAGGTTTCTCAACCTGTGAACTATTGTCACTTTGTGTTAGATGATTCTTTGTTGTGGGAACTTATCCTGTACATTGTAGGCAGCTTTGTAGCTCACTAACCATATCCACTAGATGCCATGAGCACTCGATCTCTAGTTGTGAAAAGCAAAACAGTCTCCAAGTACTGCAAAATATACCCTGGAGGAAGAAAAATTACTGCCTTAAAGGATGGAAAACTCAGTTTTGATAGTTGGGGAATAGCTAAAAGCAGCTCTATGCATAGTACTCCGCTTCGTATTCCTATGTAAGTGACTAATCACAGAATTTGGGGACTGGGTTAGTTCTGATTTATTTTAAATACTAAGTATATTTCAGTTTTTCTTATTTCTTGACATAGTCCATTATGCAGGGCCTGTATTCATAATATTTATCATCATAGCAATCTGAGATATACTTTAATGATAGACAAAGTATCTCTAGGTATTTCATTGCTTGTTCATTCGGATAATCCTGTAACTGACATTTCTCTTTTTGTGAGTATGACCCCCTTCCCCTGTGCAGATATTCCTATGCCTTTAGAGCAAGAATATGCTCCATAAGATCAGTAGTACCGTATGAGCACAAGTTGATACCTATCTGAATCAGGTTCCTGTTCTACTCTATCTTGCAGTGAGAGCGTATAAGAAAATTGTAGAATTGAGACACCTCCTAGAAATTGCTGAGAGCAACTATAAACACTTGGGAGGAATCACAGAAGAAGATCTAAAGCAGAAGAAAGAACAGCTCAAATCTGAAAAGTAATGTCCTCAAAACTTTAATGGTTTGATGTTAGCTACTCCTTTCAGTACCCTGTGAGAGTTTGTTGACCAGCAACTTGTTCTTTTATCCTCACTAAAAGGTGTTTGACGGAGCTTTGGTTGTAAGTGGTTAAGTTAACTGAGAGCTTGGTAATTTTAACCCACCAGCCACTTTGAAGGAGAAAGATGTGACAGTCTGTGTCAGTAAAGATTTACAGTCTTGGAAACCTAGTGGGGAAGTTACATTTTGTCCTACAGGGTATCTGTGACTTGCATTCAACTTAATGGCAATGGGTAAATGGTGTTAAATGGTGTTAAGACCATCCTGTTTTCTTCCTAAACCTACAAATGGAAGAATTAAGATATATATATATA